AAATATAATGGGTTTGCGTACATCATACTATGAGATTATATACACAGAAATAAGGCACAATGACAAGGTTAAATGTCTTTGAAAAATCATAATATTCATATAATTATAATGCATCAAAAATTGCACTTTTGTTGCTGTTTTTGTTGTGTATATGCCTGAGGGAAGTTAAATGCACCAACAAAAAAGAGATTTAAGCCAGTTTGCTTGTGGATGAAAAATTTTGCACATAAAATAAAGAAATTAACAACATATTCAAGAGATAATTATTTTGGGTGTTCGTAATAAAAAATAATATCCTTAAGGATTAAACTGAAAAATCACCCCAAAATGTATTGGTTATTCTACAATCACAATAAAAGGGCAGCTGTGTCGTCAACAAGACCACAAAATGAGCTAATTTTATCAACATCCAAATATTTACGGATACATTATAACGTCAAAATTGTGGATGATGTCCGGATCGCATTCATACCAACGTCACTAGAAGGCAAGCATGCAACCTTTAGCCAAAAAAGCGTAACGGCTAATGCTAACGCTCCGGTTTGCCAGTACATGGGAAAGGAGAACAGAGGCCGTTTTTTTTAATGGATGTCAATGGAGGAGAAGCTTCACTACACTGAATAAACAGCTTTTTAGAGGAAACTTATAATTACATACAAGTTCAGGAAAAGATGGTTGAATCTTTAACAATGAACAATCATCATGACAAAAAAACAGAAAACATAAATATAATGGGTTTGCGTAAATCATACTATGAGATTATATACACAGAAATAAGGCACAATGACAAGGTTAAATGTCTTTGAAAAATCATAATATTCATATAATTATAATGCATCAAAAATTGCACTTTTGTTGCTGTTTTTGTTGTGTATATGCCTGAGGGAAGTTAAATGCACCAACAAAAAAGAGATTTAAGCCAGTTTGCTTGTGGATGAAAAATTTTGCACATAAAATAAAGAAATTAACAACATATTCAAGAGATAATTATTTTGGGTGTTCGTAATAAAAAATAATATCCTTAAGGATTAAACTGAAAAATCACCCCAAAATGTATTGGTTATTCTACAATCACAATAAAAGGGCAGCTGTGTCGTCAACAAGACCACAAAATGAGCTAATTTTATCAACATCCAAATATTTACGGATACATTATAACGTCAAAATTGTGGATGATGTCCGGATCGCATTCATACCAACGTCACTAGAAGGCAAGCATGCAACCTTTAGCCAAAAAAGCGTAACGGCTAATGCTAACGCTCCGGTTTGCCAGTACATGGGAAAGGAGAACAGAGGCCGTTTTTTTTAATGGATGTCAATGGAGGAGAAGCTTCACTACACTGAATAAACAGCTTTTTAGAGGAAACAGCTTATCATTTAATGAATTGACAGCCCATCGGCTAATCTCCAACATGTTTTACATTAAGCAATACTTTTGGATTGAACTATTTTTAGAGTTTACACCGAAAAAAATGCCGTTTTATAAGAGAAGTCACTGACATTTTGCGACAGGTGGGATTCAGCTAACGGCATTCTCATGCATTCTTATGGTATCCGTAAGCGCGACTGAGTGTCACACAACTCTGACTGAAATTAAATGACGGCAAGGCTGTAATGTGATTGGTGATTAAGGCACACGTGATCCAAGTTGACCGTTACGCTTTCTCCAATAGTAAATAATACAGACCCTCTCATCTCCCAATAGTAAGACAATCTCTGATCATACTTTACACGATCAGGCTATAGAGTACATACTCTTTTATCGCTCGATAAGTAAGTTATTATTGAAAATATGTACCTACTCATTGAGTATGCGTTTCAAACGCAGCCCTTGATTAGTTTGTTCAGGTGTGTTTGATCAGAGATGGAGCTAAAAACCCAGCAGGACTGGCACAGACCAGATTAGAGAAACACTGGTCTACAGCTAAGGCCATGTCCACACGTACACGGGTATTTTTATAAACTGAGTTTTTCCTTCTTCCGTTTTTAAAAAAATCTCCGTCCACATGAAAACGCAAATGCATGCTATGAAGCACTGTCAAGAGCATGCCAAACCAACAGGTGGCAATATAATCTCAACCTTAAAGCCATGTTGGCCAATCAGAAGCCTGAAAAAGTTTCCAGTAGGCGGAGATAACAGCGCAGGCTCCGACGTCACAAGCCAAGAAAATCTTCACCCTGGCAGGCTTTTCAAAAACGTTCGGTTTCAGTAACCTGGTGCTGTGTTTGCGTGTGGACGAACGGCCAAACCGCGTAGAAAAAGCTGCGGTTTTAAAAATAACCGCGTTCGTGTGGACAAGGCCTAATTCACAGTCAGTACACAAGGCCATTCTCCAAGATTCAGGAGCCAAGTGTAGTCCTTAATCCAGATATAAAAATACAGGAGATAAACAACTAAGAGTGCAATCTACAAAACAAAACAAAAATAATAAAAACAATAATAATAGCAAAAAAAAAAGAGGTGCTGTACTCCAGTAGGTTTAGGCCTAAGGCCTCAAACAATCCATAGTACTGTAGAGTTCTGTGGAAGTCCAGTAACATTTAGTAAGAATATATCATTAGGCCTGCAGTGGTCGGTTTCCACACTGAGCGTGAAAAAGCAAAACGAACATCGGACGCGATGACGCGCTGGAATAAATCAATAGATTTCTATGGATGCTTCCACATAGACCGCAAACATTCGCACACCGAAAATGCACTTTTTTTTTTTTTCCGAACCAGTCCGACGAATCTTTTCAGTTTCGCAAAGCGAAAACACGGGCCGTCCAATCAGATTTGAGCTCGGATCACGTGACCGGAGCAGCTGCTGTTACACAAAAGGGTGAGAGTGGTGGCGCTGTTTCGAAAACCAGTGTAAACAAACATCGAAGAAGAGTATCCCGGATAAGAGAAGAGAGTGGATGCTGAGCTCCTGTTATCGTTGGTACTTGAGAACAGATTTATTCCCACATGTTCTTTATACAGAATAACATTTCTATTAATTGTCCACTGAATTATGTGATCTGTAGAGCAAAGCGCGTTAACTCTTTTCCTACACATGAAATATGAAAGCAAATAGACATGATTATGACGATATATTTGTTTTGTATGCAGCTCATGGTATTTTTATAGCAATAAAGGATGTTTATGACAAATATTAGCAGTGTAGTGTTATTAAACATACAAAGCGTGCATGTGTCTGCTTATTAATCAAAATCAACTATAGATCACAATCGGAAGTTATTACAAGCACTCAATGATGGTTTAAAGTGGGTCAGCAAATACATTAATAATTACATACATTTTCAAGTGTAGCTTAATGCTAATTATACTTCTAATTATTTTTTCGGATGTAGCCTATTCTTGTAAGCATTATAAATAATTTGTGTTTCTGGTGTAGAACCAAACATTGTTTATCTTAATTTAATGCTGTATATTGAGCAGCGGACGATGTTAAAGCCATTTTCGAGATACATATCTGAGGAAAAATGCATTGTTGTTCGGCGCCCCCTAGCGCCGGCGTGACTTAGCAGAAGGCGAACAATTGTTTCGTGCTCGGTGTGAAAGCACCGTTCTGTCAGTGATTCGCCTCGCTTTTTCGCATCGCGCTTTAGAGAGTGGCACCTCGTGGTCCCATCATTTCCAGAACATTCACGTTCACTGTTCCCTGACAATATTCAAGAGACAGCTAAAAACTCATCTCTTCTGAGAGCACTTAACTGCATTCTGCTGACTCTTTAAAAAAATATCTTCTTCTATGCTTTCACTATTGTTAAACTTTTTTTTTCACCATTTGGCAACTGGCTCTTTTATTAGGAAGGCCTTTGTTAGAGCTACTGTTCTGGGCACACCAATTTCTTCCAGCTAATTTCTAACTAATTTCTCACAGCTTTATTCACAACATTGTTGCTAAGGAACAAAAATGAACAACATATTTGGCAGAACATAATAGAAAATTGGAACAAAATCCCTTTCAGTTGTTTCCGAGTGAAACCGTTATCTTTAAATGCAGTAAGTAATGAAGTTATTGTTTTGTTTTGAATGCCTGATTTGCATATGCCCCACCCCCCAAAACCATGTGTTGCTTATTTTGGGCTTGCTTGCTCAGACCAGTTTGCTATTTTCTCTAGCAAAGCTGGTAGGTAGAACACAGACTTCATCCTATTGCTCATTGCACTATGTACTATGCATACATTTCCTCTAGTAATTATAGCTTTAAAACCATAAAAGATCAGTGTCAGGTTTTTGGTTTTTACAGTGAATAACCAGCATTACATAGTAGGTTAATATGATCTGTGGTCAGGGCTGTAGACACTTCATACTCAGTTATAAATACTGCATATAAATGTCACAGGACAATCAACACAGGTACAGTCCATCAGGTCAAATTACTGACCAATGTTTTATTTAAAGTAATAATAATAATAAACATAAGACTTAAGCGACACAGTACAATACACAATCAAGAGGTCCAAAACTGTCATGCTTGTGCTGTAAGTCAATGATTAATCTTTCATTTTTATTATTATTCCACTTTTATATTACAACCATTATTAGATTAATGTTATGAGAAGATCTAGCTGAATTTCAAACATTTTGAGCAACATCAGTATATTTATTTGTTTATGGAAAATAACTAAGACACCAGATAACAAACTTTTCACTAATTTATAATGCAGTTCAAAGCAATGATTTAAAAAAAAAAAAAATCTGGTAGAATATCTCTATTTTGATAAATTCAAAATTTGAACTTAGTTTCATGGTTGTTCCATAAAAAAACTCTAAACCCAGGATAGAGCGGCTGAGTGAATGTGGTCTGGACTGTGTGGATGAGGCTCATTGTGTCAGAGACGCTGTAGAAGGACAGAGTTCCTGCTCTGTGATCCACAAACACTCCTATTCTACTGCTGATGGACTTCACAGAGAGATCAGTCTCTACATTATTGTGACTGAATGAGTATCCAGAGTATTTGGAGCAACATAAACTCCAGGACTGATCATTACATCCAAATAAGCAATCCCTCCTCTCAACTTCTCCCTTCCTACAGATATTCTTATATGACACTGCTACATCCACAATACCATTTTCACTCCGCTCAACCTCCCAGAAAGAGCGTCCACACACTCTTTCTACACAACACCTGCTCCCAGTAATCAAATCTGTCTGGATGTTCAGGGTACCCATAGTTCATGTCACCCTGAAAGATAACTCTGTTCCCATCAGACAGTCCGAGGACTGGATTCACTGTGTTCAGATCCAGAGTCAACTGGTAGGAGTCTGATGGAAACAAAACAGGTAACAGTACTTCAACACTTCAGAGAAAACAACTTCATGTGTCTGATAAATGTACCTTTGTGTGTGTTTTAAGTGCATGAATCTCACTCTCTTTAGTTTATTTTTTTAGATATAAAGTAGAAATAATATTTGGTTGAAATACCAATCAGCTAAAACATTTTACAGCTGAAAAATACTTGGATTTAATATTTTTAAATCAGTTTAAACTGTTTTGTCTAGCTAAAACTGTCCACTACCAATTAATGTTGTCATATTTTGAGCTGAATACTGAAGCTGAAAACCAGAGAAGACTTTCTGATTATCAGGTTTTCAGGATTCTCCAGCATGATTTGAGATCATCAAAAGAGCATCTAGTGTTTTAATGGGGAAAAAAATCTGTACAAAGAGTGATCACTGACACTCATTTACTTCTATTTGATTAGTTGCATTATATACATTTATATCATAATGCTGTCAGTATATTTCTTAGTTTAAATTTACTTCTTGAAAATCCCAGATTTTCAATCTCGTCTCAGATTTCTGGACCCCTTGTTACATCCACAGCTATATAAATACATTTCTGAGCTTGTATACTGTATCTTTATAGTAACTTACATTGTAAGAACTCTTCTCTGACTTTGGGTTCAGGGGAAGGAATGATCTCAACGAATTTCACTGCGGAAACCAGTAGACAGTTTTCAGTTTAAAAAAGTTTTCCAGTGATTTCAAAGCTGATTTTTTTTAGCATTATTACTCCAGTCTTCAGTGTCACATGATCTTTCAGAAATGATTATAATATGCTGATTTGCTGCTCAATAAACATTTTTTATTATTATTAATATTTAAAAGAGTTGAGTACATTTCAGGATTCTTTGATGAATCAACAAATCCAAAGATCAGCATTTATCTAAAATTAAAAGCTTTTGTAGCATTTATACACTATACTATTCAAAAGCTTGGGGACTGTCACGGTGCGTAGAAGGGAAATGAGGAGATGACTTTCAAAACTTGACTTTTAATAAACAAACCAAACGAAAAGGAACACGAACATAGGGAACGCAGGAGACACACATGGAATGACGTTTAGACTTGACAAAGAAACAGCCGACAGACTACACTTTAAATACAAGACATAACGAGGGAGTAAATTAAATGCACATGAATCAAATAAACAAACACAGGTGGAGACTAATGAACTCAATGAAATAATCAGGACAGGAACATAACCAAAAAAGGTCTGAACAATGGGACACAGGAAGCACATGGGGAACAAAACACAACACAAGCGTGACAGGGACAGTATATATACTGTATATATATATATACTGTATATATATAAAAAAAAAATTTTTTTTTTTTTGGGGGGGGGGAATAAATTATAGAAATTAATACTTTTATTTAGCAAGGATGCTTTAACTTGAACAAAAGGCATTTGATGATAAAGACTAATAATGTTACAAAAGATTTCTATTTCAGATAAATGCTGTTCTTCTGAACTTTCTATTAAAATAATAATACATGTTTTTTTGAGCAGCAAATCAGCATATTAGAATGATTTCTGAAGATCATGTGACACTGAAGACTGGAGTAATGATGCTGAAAATTCAGCTTTGATCACAGAAATAAATTACATTTTAAAATATATTAAAATAGAAAGCAGTTATTTTAAATAGCAAACATATTTCACAATATTCCTGTTTTTGCTGTATTTCTGATCAAATAAATGCAGGATTGGTGAGCAGAAGAGACATTACAAATCTCACTGTTCAAAAAACTTTTGACTGGTAGTGTAAATGTCCTAGATTTTACCTTTATCAGATATAATTTCTATTTCATCTTTGCAAAAATCCTCAATCTCTTTTCTCAGTAGAGAGACAGATCTTCTCACTTCATCAAAAGTCAGCTGAGAGCTAACAGTCACGTGAAGTGCTGTGCTGTGTCTACATTCTGAAACAGACAGAGACTGCAAACTCTACAAAGACACAAAGACATCAGAATAAAGACAAACCCACACAAACTGAAGAAAATAAGAGTCTTTCTCTCTGTTCATTGAGATCATAACCTGACAGCATGTATTCTGATAACTCTACTCTCATGAAAAATGCAAAATCTGTTCATAATTAATAAACGTTAATTAATCAAAATGTCAGCAAATGAACTGAAATTGTCCTGTACCTGCAGGAACTGGCTGTGATCCTGTTTGTGCTCCAGCTGCTCCAGCTCAGCGTCTCTCCTCCTCAGATCATTGATCTCCTGCTCCAGTCGCTCCAGTCGTCCTTCAGCTCGACTCACTGCAGTCTTCTCCTGATCTCTGGTCAGCCGTATCAGCTCAGAGCGGTGTCTCTCAATGGAGCGGGTGAGCTCAGTAAAGATCCTCTCACTGTCCTCCACTGCTGTCTGTGCAGAGCGCTGTTAGGACACACAGTGATTCAGGCTTCAGTGAGTCTGAACTGAGACGGAGACAAACTTCTCTTCTTCTCCAGACTCACCTTATGAGACTCCACAGCCTCTCTCAGCTGCTGAAGATCTTTCTCTCTCTGCTGGATTCTCTGCTGGAACGTCTTCTGCGTCTCCTTCAGCTGCTTCTGCAGGACAAATGGATGATAGTGAATCTCACAGAAAACTACTGACTCTAAATCATCATGTGAACAGATGAATCCAGTAAAAGTAGGGTGAGGCAGTTTAAAGTTTACCCCCCAATGGACATCCCTGTGCCCTCCTCCGGACCGAAGGGGACGGACTTGACACTAAAATTTAATTTTCTCAGACAAACCATTGCCTGCTTTTGACTGTTTTTAGATGGAAAAGCTGCCCATAACTGCTGGTCTAGGATCTGTTTTCTTCGTAATAATAGCATATTAGCTTAATAGACTGGGCAAATGATCCGGTGCATGTCTGCGTTTGTGCTCTGGTGAGCAGTGTAGCCAATCACAGACATATCTGTTAATTTCTTGAACATAATGGCCAATCAGAGGTGTTTAAGTGAGAATCCACTCACCACTCAGAGTTGAGTTCTGCACGCTCGCAAATCCTCTCTAACAAAGGATTATTATGTGAATAAGACATTCAGTTAGGACGATTCTAAGGGCCCACGCACTTTTGGGGCCCCCAGATATCTGTTTTATTAGCAGTAACTAACTTGCGTAAACTAGCAGTAACTGTTTTATTAAATACCTGTTTCTCTGTCCTCTGTGCTGCAGCTGATACAGTCTCGTGATTTTTATGTTGATCCATACACAGCACACATATACATTTCTGATCAGTGCGACAGAAAACCTCAAGGAGCTTCTCATGTTTCTGGCAGATCATCTCCTGCAGTCGTCCAGTGGCATCAATCACTTTGTGTGGCTTACGTGAATTAAATTCCTCATGACGGTCAAAATGAGTTTGACAGTAAGAGTTCAGACACACCAGACAGGACTTGACGGCTTTGTATTTTTTTCCAGTACAGACGTCACACTGCACATCTCCAGCTCCAGCAGGAACAGCACTTTGGACTTTGGTCTTCAGTTTCTCCACCATTTCAGCAAACACCACATTCTTAGATAAAGTAGGTCTTGGACTGAAGGTCTGTCTGCACTGAGGGCAGCTGTAGACTCTCTTCTGATCCTCCTGATCCCAGCAGTCTGTAATACAGCTCTTACAGTAACTGTGTCCACACTGGATGGTCACTGGATCCTTCAGGAGATCCAGACACACCGGACAGCTGAACTGCTCCACTGAAATACAGGCCTCTGCCATTTTACTACATCAGAATCAGAATGAGCTTTATTGCCAGGTATGTTTATACATACGAGGAATTTGTTTTCGTGACAGAAGCTTCCACAGTGTAACAGAATGACAGTGACAGAACAAAAAAACACAGATAATAAAAAAAATAGAACAAGTAAATAAGGAAAAAAATATATAAATTGACAGTTGTATGTGCAGGTATATTACAATAGACAGTTTTTGTATGTACAGGTACTGTATATTATGCGCAAATTTGAGGTGTAGACTGAGTATGAGTGTTAGATAAATAAGTGTATGAGTGAATAAATAGTGTGTGTTCCACAGTTACTGCTCTGCTTCATTAGTCCATCTTTTTACAGTCCTTAATAGAGGTTCAGCTGATTTCAGTTTCTGCCTGTAGGTCGGTCTTAGATGAACTAAACAGTGATCAGAGGGCCCCAAAGCTGCCCGTGGAACAGAGTGATATGCATTCTTTATTGTGGTGTAACAGTGATCCAATATATTACTGTCTCTGGTGGGACATGTGATGTGCTGTCTGTATTTTGGCAGTTCACGGGAGAGATTGGCTTTATTAAAGTCCCCGAGAATGATTAAAACAGAGTCCGGGTGTTGTTGTTCTGTGTCTGTGATCTTATCAGCGAGTTTCTGTAAAGCGGAGCTCACGTGTGCTTGTGGATTAATGTAGACACTGACGAGAATGAATGAGCAAAACTCCCGAGGCGAATAGAACGGCTTGCAGTTAATGAAGATGTTAAGCAGTTAACATGTGCACACCGATAGAGTTGCAACAGGCCAAAAGCACTTAAGTTTCAGTTTCTCTACAGTGATGCTTCCTGGTTCTGTATTTGAGAGAGGTAAAAAACAGGCGTGTCTGTAAATTCCAAAATAATTCTAGTGTCCACTAGGTGTCAGCCTCATACCGACTCCCAGCACAACCAAAGAGTGAAGGTTTGGCTAGTTAAAAAAAAAGTGTGGCATGACATGTGGCCAAGTATGGCAACCCATTCTCGGAATTAGTGCTCTGCATTTATCCCATCCAAAGTGCACACACACAGCAGTGAGCACACACATAGAGCAGTGGGCAGCCATTTTTTGCTGCGCCACCCAGGGAGCAGTTGAGGGTTCGGTGCCTTGCTCAAGGGCACCTCAGTCGTGGTATTGAAGGTGGAAGAGAGCGCTGTACATTCACTCCCCCCACCTACAATCCCTGCCGGTATGAGACTCGAACCCGCAACCTTTGGGTTATGAGTCCGACTCTCTAACCATTAGGCCACAACTTCCCTTAGCATGGAAATCTAACTAAATACTTTTTTGCAAGCAACATATGGCTTATATCGTATGAAAATACAGTTATTCACACATCACGTGTCTAATCCCAAGCTCTTTTTATGCAACGATTGTAATAACTGACAACTGTGGATAGATAGATAGATAGATAGATAGATAGATAGATAGATAGATAGATAGATAGATAGATAGATAGATAATAATATTTAAATGGTTTGTGTTTATTTGAGTCATTTTTAGATCATCATGAATTTCAACGTGTAATAGACTTGGTTGGCATTACAGTGAATGTCCATGAAAACATCATTTCTGTTTATGCCGTGGGGGAAAACAATCTATTCTAACTAACGCATGTTGACCTTGTTAGGTGCTTGAAGAAAAGGCCCAAGTCTAACAAGCAATATTGAGGTGTACCACCCTAAGAAACCAGATCAGCTGAGGGTTGAGTTTGATTGTTCAGCTAAGTTTTGTTAAGTTTTGCAGTATATCTCTAAACAACACTCTTCTGACTGGGCCTGGCCTAATTAACTCTTTAGTGGGAGTACTCTGCCACTTCAGGAAGAAACTTCTCACAGTCACCTGCGACATAGAAAAGATGCTTCATCAGTTCCTCGTCCCTCCTGATGAATGCAATCATCTAAGGTTTCTATGGTGGGTGGGTGGAGACTTAGAGTCTCAAGACTATTGCATGGCAGTCCATCTCTTCAGCAGCCTCAGTGTTTGTTGGAAAGAACATCTATGTAGACGATAGGTTAGCCAGTGTTTTTTCAGTCGATGAAGCCAATAACTCATCATTGATGCTAAAGCGCTGTGTAAACGCAAAGGCTTACAGCTTCATAAATTCAACTCAAATGAGGAAGATGTTCTCTGTTGCATAGACTCATCAGAAAGGGCTATCACATCTAAGCTCCTTGACTTAAAGGGATAGTTCACCCAAAAATTAAAATTAGTTGCAACAAGCCAAAAGCACTTAAGTTTCAGTTTCTCTACAGTCATGCTTCCTGATTCTGTGTTTGAGGGACGTGAAAAATAAATTCCCAAATAATACTAATGTCCACTAGGTGTCAGCCTCATATTGACGCTGGGAGTTGGTGCTAATGGTCTGCTAGCACAACCAAAGAGTCCAGGGGCCCGTTCTTCGTACATCGCTGACTCAGTTAGCAGGATTTAATTGTTGATGATTTGGCATGATCTTGGATTATTTGGTTCTTCGAAGCTCATCCCGGAGTTTTCGTGATAAAATAATAACTTCATAATTGTATTCGAGTCTTACACACATGCTATACAGTTGTTACAGAGTCCTGCATTAATTTGAGTGATGACAGATATTATGGGAGTGGCTTGATGGAGCACAGGAGATGCAGATAACTTGATCTTGACCCTTCTGGAAGAAACTTCCAATGTTCATACTATCCATCCTAAATAGTATGTGAGATTAGAATAAGTGTGTCCCAAAGCATAGTATGCCAAAAGTCCCCCGATGGTCTACTGTTTCATTTTGAAGTGTGGACCCGTGCACACTCTAATGGCTAATATTACCCACAATCCATTGCGCTTTGGGGAAGGATTCGGTTCAGAACTACAAACACGAATAAAAAGCGTTAAAACTACAAACATGGCGGATTTGCGCGACCGACGGTTAAGTAGAGGTTTAGATAAAGGGGTTTAATAATCAACATTTAACCTGGTAAAATATTTATTTTATCATTTCTTTGTTATATTTCATGTGCAACAACAATGTGAACTTTTATTTTTTTTTTTTAAACTTATGTTACTGTTATGGTGAATGATGTCAAGTTCTAGTTCTAGTTCTAGTTCTAGATAGATAGATAGATAGATAGATAGATAGTCCGAAACCCACCCTTAATGTCCAAATAACAAGACAGAAAATGGTGATGACAACTTGATAATTATTGCAATTCTAAGAATGAATTACAATTATTGCTGAATAGACGAATAACAAAAATATGTACCTTATGAACACAATGTGTACCTTAAAACATACAATACATTTGAGTAACTTTAATTTTAACACATGATGTTCCACAATATCTATAAAATATTCCACAGGTCATGTCTTTCTCCGCTTCCCAGCACACATACATATCTTCCCTGAACCCGCTCTCAGCTAATCAGAACTCGAGCTCTCCTGTCGTAGATGAGTGTAACTCTAGCAGTTCCGGTTGTTATCGCTAGAGGGGGCTATATACTTTTGAATAGTGGAAACCTTCCTGTTTGTAAAAGAAGCCTGTCCTGTTGGACAGTCAGGCCATGCTGTTGCAGTCCTGTTACATAACAGTTAATCAGAAACGCGCTTGAACCCCCAAAAAAAAAAAAAAACTAAATGTTATTGTATATTAAATTACCTCACTGTCATGCTTTTGCTATTGCATTTCATATAGTGTGTGTGTGCCAACAAACCGGTGTTTAGAAAGGTGTTCTTATGGGTTTTGTTGTCATTTAATATTCAAAAAATGCTTTTACCCAGTTGTACCCATAAATTAGTCTAATTCCATTACTGTATCTGGCAAAGAGCAGCATGGACATTCTGCTAAATATACTGCAGATACGTAAGAGTAACAGACAGAATACTCGTTCATTACTGCACATTTTGCAATGAAATTCACTACAATACAGTACAGTGGTAGGACACTTGGACACGAATTGATCAGTTTGTTTGGCTGCTTTTCACAAAATCACTGGAGGGACTGCTAACAGGGGAAACCAGATTGCTGTCACCTTGGATAAGTAATATTGTTACGTTAACGAATTAGAAATTAGCTTTAGGGCTAAAGTCACATGCATCTCTCGACATTAACAGCTGAAGCAACACCCTGTTAACATAATCCCTCGATCAGGGGGGTCCAGTCCTGCTCCTGGAGGGCCAATATCCTGCAGAGTTCAGCTCAAATGGCCCTGTTTTACAGCGTGTTCCAAACACACCACAAATGCAAAGAAAGCCGACCACGTGCTGCTGGTTACCAGAGCAAGCGTGTAGTGGTTATCTTTGCCAACAGAGGGCGAGAGCTACACTGACTATGTCGAATTTAACCTTGAGTTACCGTTGCATATAGTCACTGTGTATGAACAACTTCTTTGACCCACTAGTAGTTAGCCAAGAGGTATTCAGTCTTACTTTCAGATTCAAATGAAACCGATATACCTTTATGAGACTGACTCTATGAGAAGAATGGTTTACAAAAGAATAAATGTCATAATTTTCCTATTGTCATTGCAAACCAGCACGACGAGGTAGTGACTAGCTATTCATGTTAAATTAAAGTAGTACTGTATGTAATAAATAACAGGACATTAACATAACATTAAACGCTCCCAAAAGTTCCCATACACTCTTAAAAATAAAGGTGCTTCACGATGCCATAGAAGAAACTTTTTGTCTAAATGGTTCCATAAAGAACCTTTAACATCTGAAGAACCTTTCTGTTTCACAAAAGGTTCTTTGTGGCGAAAGAAGGTTCTTCAGATTATAAAAAGGTAAGAAAGAGATGGTTCTTTAAAGAACCTTTGACTGAATGGTTCTTTGTGGAACCAAAAATGGTTCTTCTATGGCATCGCTTGAAGAACCTTTTGAGGCACCTTTATTTTTAAGAGTGTACACACCTTTTACTACACCACGTGGGTTGAATAAATAAAAAAAATAATCCACTGAACAATTACATTTGCAGAAAGCAAAATTAGCCTAAATCTACGCCTAAATTGGGGATA